ATTAAAAGTATTTTGAAATACAATAATTTGAACTACCAAAAATAATTTGAATTGTCAAAATAATTTGGGTTGACAAATAATTTGAACTGTCAAAAATTTGGATAGCCTTAAATAATTTAGGTTACCAAAAATAATTTGAATTATCAAAAATAATTTGAGTTGTCAAAAATAATTTGGTTTGTCAAAAATAATTTGAACTACCAAAAATATTTTGGGTTGCCAAAAATAATTTGAACTGTCAAAAATAATTTGAACCACCAAAAATAATTTGGATCACCAAAAATAATTTGAATTGTCAAAAATAATTTGGGCTACCAAAAATAATTTGAACTGTCAAAAATAATTTGAACTGCTAAAAATAATTTGAGCTGCCAAAAATATTTTGGGTTTGGAATTTGAATGGTCAAAATATATTTTGAGATTTGGATTTTTGAATTTGAATTTGAATGGCATGTATAGGTTATGTCTTCGAAACCAATATCGAGAACTTATTTTTCTTCCTTATTATGCTTACCAAATTAATTTGTGTGTGGGTGAAATTTTTAAAGTATCACCAGAATTTAAAACAACATTAACTTATGCATTAAAAATAACAGCATATTTTAAAAATACAAATAATAAATATTTTATTGAACAACTTCGCACTATTTAAAAAGAGATTTATGAAAAATATATTCAATTAATGATTTCAGAAGATACTTGATGAAATAGTTATCTTACTTGTTGTTCAAGTATAAAAGCAACCAAAAATACTTTACAGGTATATAAATTTAATTTAATTTAATTATATATTTTTTATTAACTTCATTTAATTATTTAATTTTAATTAAATATTTTTTTCATTAGTTTTTAGTTACTAAATTTGAACTATCTCAATTAAATACTCGTCATTAACCAAATGATCCATTAACTATTTTCCAAGATATTTATTCAATTATTATGAATAAAAATTTTTGGAGAAATTTAATAAAACTAGAATAACTTTTAATTCCTTATTATCAAATTCTCGATATATTACAAACAGATAAAGCAAGATTATATAAAGTTTTATATGGATTTGCTTATCTTACACAATTTTGAAAAAAATATATAGATAGTGATATGGTAAATAGGATCTTAACATGTTTATAAAAAGATAGGAATCTTGGGAACAGCCATTACTTATTCTTTTTTGGTTTTTTCATCTATTTTATTAAACAAAATATTTTACATCACCATTTTCATCAAAAATTAATTATTTACATATGGGAAAATGGTTAGTATATTATTATAAAACTTGAACTGGATGTGATCTTCAATCTATTCTTGTTGAATTTGATGATTTTTCTCAAGGAAAGAATTATCCTTTTGATAATGAAACAATTCATCAATTTGAAAATAATATATATAAATATTGGTGTTGGATTAAGGATGCATATCTAGAAATAGGAACAGTTGTTTTTAGAATTTTTGATATTTGTGTTAATGTTGCATCAATTGAAAGATTATGGAGTAATATGGAATTTTATTATATCAAGAATAGAAATAAATTAAAGGTAAAAAATTTATTTTAATTATATTAAAATTCTTATATTTATTTTTATTTAATTAAATTTTTTATTTATTTAATATACACGTGTATTAGATATGGCAAAATTACGTACTGATATTATATATAATAAAAGATTTTATAAAGAATCTATTGTATCTAATATTATAAATTCTACTTTAGAAACTGAAATATATGATAATGATTTAGAAACTGAAATACAAGATAATGATTTAGAAACCGAAATACAGGAAGTTAATTCAGAAACTGAAATACAAAATATAGATAATATAGATCATGATTCTGAAATTGAATTATTAATTGAAGAAAATGAAGAAGTATCAAATAATAGTGAAGATGATGAAAATAATAATATAGATATAGAAGATATTTTTCAAAAGTTTACTGATCATTTATCTAAATGGATGGGAATACTTGAAACAGAAAGAGAAAATTCAGAATTTTTGAAAAATGAGGTTGAAAATATTAATTATTTAGCAATAAATATTCAAGCTAAATGGAATTTAGATATTATATTCAAAAATAATTTACCTTATCTTTTTGATTAATAATATAATATTTTTTTTTTTATTAATAAAGATTAATACAATTTAAATATTACATGATTTATAATATTTAGTACATTTAGTACAAGTACAATATATCACAAGATCAATTAAAATTAATAAATCACATGTTTAATATGTACTAAATATACTAAATTTTGAAAATTTCATAGTACTAGTACAGTACAGTACAAATTCCCAATCTTGTATATAACCATTAAAATTATATAATATATTGCAGATCATTTAACTTGGTATCAACTGATATGTTAATTAAATATAAAATTTAGAGAAAACTTAAACTAGACTCCTGGGTTTAGGTCATTTATTCTAGACCCCTGGGGTTTAGGTCATTTTGTCTAGATCCTTTCTTAATTTATAAATATCAAAGTTAAATTTTAGTTGTAAAACCTATCAAACAAATAATCTTTGTTTATTTTGTTATTATTATTATTTTTATTATTTTCATTTTGAATATTTTCTTTTGAATCAAATTG